GAGAGCCCAGGCTATGTATTTGCCTAGACTGTAGTCGAATGAATCATAAGTGGACAGTATAGGTCGTAGGGGGCAGTCTTGTTTGTGTGGTTTAGGAATACCATTTAGTTGTGGTGTGCATGAATCAGTTTTACGTAGATAAAAATAAAGATCGTCAGTAATTAAATTGTCTTTTTTCATTTGTAATAAAGTTTTGTTTAATTGTTTTTCGTGTGTGTTTGTTGGGTTGTTTGGGATGATTTTGAATTTCTTTTTATCGGAAAGGATGTCGTTCATTTTGTCGATGTATTCTGAATTGTTCATGATGACAGTGGTGTTGCCTTTATAAGCTTTCAGAATTTTAATGTTAGTGTTTTTTTAAGATTATAAATGGATTTGATCTCGTTACTTGTGAGGTTACTTTTCAGTTTACGGGATTGGTTGACTATATTAATAGTTTAAAATACAGTTTTTGGGAACTTCGGGAAACCACATTCTATTGTAGTTACCTGTGATAAAAATCTGTTGGTTGATGTCATGGATTTCTTATATATATATATATCCGTGTAAGTGTAAATTACTTGTACCTGATGATTACAAAACCTTGTCGAAACGTTGTACACTTACAGTTATGTTAAACTTACATTAAAGTTTTTCTTCATTACCCATTCAAGCCGTCTCCAACCATTATTAGTCTCATAGTAGGTTCCTCGTCATCGAATTACAGGAAAATATTTTTGTAGTGAAAATAAAACCAGGACTAATTTTCAACTTCTGTTTTTGTTTTGTTTTATTTTTAGTAAAATAACAAAGATTAAGAGAATAAATTTGTAATGAACAGAACAAACTAATTTTATTTTTATGGCTAAACAGATATAGTTAAAACCGCATAGGCGACGAAAATAACAAAATAATATAATTGGTAACCTGTTTAATTTTATATTTTTGGACTGCCATTTTTCATCTTCCTGTTGTATAACATTGTTTAGTTGTTACGTTCTTTATGTAGTTTTATGTACATTTACTTGGTTCACTAACGAGTGTTGTATCGTGTAGCGAGATTCAAAATAAGTACGTTCGTTCAATATTATTTATGGAACATCCGCTTAATGATTTTAACCGGTGTTTATAAAGTTTAAATAAGTACGTATGTTTAGTGTTATTTATGGAAAAAGCCCCTTAATGATTTTAACCGGTGTTTATATAGTTTAAATAAGTACGTATGTTTAGTGCTATTTATGGAAAATCCTAATGATTTTAACCGGTGTCTATAAAGTTTAAATAAGTACGTATGTTTAGTGCTATTTATGGAAAATCCCCTTAATGATTTTAACCGGTGTTTACATAGTTTAAATAAATACGTATGTTTAGTGTTATTTATGGAAAACCCCTTTAATGATTTTAACCGGTGTTTATATAGTTTAAATAAGTACGTATGTTTAGTGCTATTTATATAATATCCTCTTAATGGTTTCAACCATCGTTTATAGAGAGTTTAAATTAGTACATGTATAAAGTAAGAGAAGAAAGAAAGAGTATTTCTTTTCTTTTAATATTTGCAAAAAGATTTGAAAAAGACTATCTAGACGCCAACAAAATAGTTAAAAACACAATGATAATGATCTTAACTAATTTTTTATAGAGTGTCAGTGTTTCTTTAAAATTTTGCACTGAAATCTTATGTATATATTGCGAACGGTGGTGTCTGTCCGAGCGTTCGTCTGTCTCCAGTTTGAAAATCTGTGCATGCAGGCAAAGCTCAACATTCACTTTTGAAATGACAGGAGAACAGGCATGAATAATGTTGATGCCAAATTTTATTTCGCAAGCAGGATATTCTATACTAAATTGTTACGAATTGATCACACTATCATTCACATTTCAAAATGTGATGTAACCGCGGTGGGCGGTATAAGTAGCTCAGAGCTTTGGCTCTGAGTAAAACCAAGAGTGCAACACAATTAAACTTTTTAAAGTCCATCGAATAATTTAAATTGACAGATTAGCTTAAACTTTTCCCGTCACTGGGGACAGGTACTTTTGCTTGTGGTTTAATGATATGAAAGAATGTATGCTTAAATAAGTTATCTTTAGTATTTGTCATGAAACAGAGCGAAATAGATCATAAGTAATGAGTTAACTAGACACACAAATGTAATGAAGCCAGAATGCGTCGAACTCCATACCTTAATTCTGATCTTTAACTTGATAGGCAGGGCGTGGCCTGTTGGTTACCGGGTGCGGATCGAAAAGTTCGAATCGTAACACCGTTTTCGGTTGTGTGTGTATATATATATATATATATATATGTGTGTGTGTGCTTGTGTTATTTAAGTGATAATGAATCCCGGAAAAATATACATTGTGGCGACGGGTTCCATTGACTGGCTGCCCTTCTTCTGCTCAATATTCAAAACTAGAGACGACTATAACCGAATTTTAGGAGTATGTAGCCTGGATAGCCTATGTGTCGTATAAAGTGCCGTACACATTAAAAACTCCAATTATTTTACTTTTTGTTTAAAGGTATTTAAGAAACATCTCCTTCATAATTTTAAAACGGTGTTTATTGGGCTATATTAAATATGAATAATTAAATTCGTACAACAAATACAGTTAATTTTAAAGAGTTAAATGATAGTTCAATATCATACCATTTGTTAACATGATGGAAAGCACGTGGTTGACAACACCATCTTAATATATGTCTTGAAAATAAATGTATTTAACAACAGTTGTTGTCCTGGATTTTATTTGTATTGTATATTCACTGCGATCGTAACTAAAAGAAACTAAGCAACGTAAATATAAAACTTTTTCTATTTTGCAACAAAAAAATAATATTAGAAACT